CAGAAAAATAACTCTACTGATATTTTGCGACCGTTTCTGGGTATGTTTTATTGCTTTTGACAAGTATAACAAATACTAAGTGTTCGTTGCGGTTCTCCTCATCGTCCGCCATCTTTATTTTTTGGGGTGAATTCAAAATTAGGGGGAGGAGCTAATGCCCTTTTATAGCGCGCCTTCGTGTTTAAAAGGCTGACCGCGTCAGAACCAGCCACTTGAATTTCGGCCGATCACAGAATTCCCTCAAATTTTTACTGTCAAATATTTGATCTATTCCATTGGCAAAAAATGTGTTTATTTTGTTCGTAATGCCATTTTATCAATTTTTGGCAACGAGATGCGAGGATGGTCAAAAACAAAGAAAATTGTTTATTTCAGAGTTAACTTTCAGCGTTTCGCTGGAGGCTCTAAAAAACTTACGCATTCGCTCAAATAGCGTAAATCGGATATGCAGTACCCCTTTACATCTCTTCTGTTGATTTATAGCAAAATATGTAAATTCTGACCCATACAATTAAGCCAATTAAGAACTACGTTGTTTTGAAAATACCACACACAGCACTTTCCAAATTTGAGTGAGTGTGCTGTTGTTCCAAGTCGCTTTTCTTCAAAGTGTAACGGTATCTGTAGTCCTCACACTGCATGAAATGTCGAATTTAAGGGGGTGCCATGAAGCATTAAACATTGTGTATACCGAACGATATACTGACGTATGATGATTTTGTTGAATAAGGACTGTATACGGTTCAGGATATTTCTCTTTATTATCCATGTCTGTACTGAAAATTATACTTTCCTTACACAAAGTGTAAGGTTAATTATACAAGTAACTAAACATACTTGAAAAAAAATCTTAGCTGGATGTGTTTTGGCATGATATAATATCTTCTAGCCAACAGAAGTTACTTGTAGTGATGTAAATTATATATCATCACTATTCGTGTTTAGTACTAGGTCTGGCATACCGAAAACAACAAAAATATTTTTGGCAACTCGTCGTTTCGAGCTATAGGAGCTCGATGAACTTTACTAATTTTCAACGGCCAAAGTGCATGTGACTTAACTTATGCATAGTTATGGTTACTCCATTTCTCGCTCAAAATCAATATTTGAGGCAGCGCCTACTTTCAAAACTAGCACAGTCGTTTTGCTTAGGTGAGGATGTTCAAAAATTCATCCAACCTTGCCCCAAATTTAGAAATTACGAAGGTACAAATGAACATCTTCTTTGTGACATTACGTTTAACTGTCTCATGCGGGCTGAAACATGTTGATAAAATGCCATTAAGTTAGTCTTGACCGCTGTCTTACGCTGTAAAGAACTAAAATTGCTGTCACTTACACATCTAGAAACGCTCATTCAAAATATATATTTATGGAGAGAACTTCATGTCTTACCTGAGCTTGAAAACATCTACATGAGAATGGGTTGATTCAGTCATGTGTCACGCTCTTAACGTTGAGAACTGAGATTATGGATCCATTTTTCGCTACATCGCACGCAGTTATTTTAAAGGTATAGTGCAAGTATTATTAATTTTTATCTGCCGTCTTTTGATTTTGAATATCACCTCCAGGTTTCATCTTTTTTGCCATTTCCTTTTCGTTTTGTTTTTGCGTGTGTGTGTGTTTTTCCCTTCAGTTGGTGTTTCAATAATTGAGCTAATTTGAAATCATTTAATTTGCAAATATTTTGCGCAAGACGTCCAAAATATTTACTTTGCGACAAGGATAAGCGTTTTATAGAGAAGATTCGCACTGTTTACCTTAAGACTGATGGAATAGTGTTCGTTTTCAAGTGTTTTCAGGTCTATTTGTCTCTTTAAATTTAAGTGGCCTTTTTTTACTTGAAGACTTACATAGCTTAATCGATTGAGTCGGCGGAAGAATTTGCTGCTACGCTTCCATGTTTTCGCTATGATTGTCCTCTTATTTTTATATCTTTTTTGTTTTATCAACTAGTCTTTCTGCTACCAGAAAAGTAAAGCTCTATTCCTTGATATGTTCCAAAAAAAGTACTGGAAACCCCGCGGGCCGTGTACGCCGAACCAGTCTATACCAAAATGACGGGTCAAACAATGTTGTACATTCTTATTAAAGAGTTTAGACCTTTTCCTATTAGTTACAGTCACATTCCTCTCAGGATGTGGAAAGTTTAGTTATCAGTTATCTTTTTTCCTATTTCGGGAACGCATCGGGATCTCCAAAAATTTAAGCATCTCCTTAAGCAAGACTACGCTGAAAGTTTCAAGGTAGTTTCTTGTCGCGTGAGAGGTCAAACAAGCAGTACAAGACATAGCAAATAGGCTGCTTTAGACTAAGCTGGCCGGCAACGTTTCCAACATTTCACGTCTTTCCTGCTTCTCTTCTTCTACGTAAACTTCCTCTACCTCAACTTCCCGGCTTCCCTGTCTTCTTACGGCCGCTAGTCTCGAAAAAACACCACTGCACTTTAGTCGTCGTTAGCCAGTCCTTCCTTTCAAACATGCGGGAACTATCTGGGTTTCTTGCCCTTCTCATGTCTAATGCGAACACTGTTGTTGAAAGTCGAGCTCTACGGGATCATTTAGCGCAAACCTTCAACTGTGGTCAGCACAAGTGGAGTCATCTGGTTGACGAGCGGTAGTCAGTTTTGAGATACCTTTTAGCATCTCGTATTTTTTGACGAACATACAGGCACCATTGCCTTTCCATTCCTCCTTTCTTAGGAAGTTCAACAAGCGTTTCAAGTGTCTGAAAGCCCGCCGCGCCATCGGCAGCAGTGTTAATTAGGCCCTGCAGTGACTAACGCTGAGATACTTCTCGAATCTCTAATATTTTGAACATCGTGGACCTACTCAGAAGCTCGTTGACATTTTTCTATGCATAGTTAGTCGATGAACTAATACTCCAAGTACTGCTCAATTATTGTAGACCTAGTCATGGTCCTTACCGCGTTTGGCATCTCTATCTTGTTGCCATTATCTGGGACAAGTATCTTGATACCATAAAAAGCATCTTGATAAAACTACGGTCTATTTACAAACTCTACAAAGTGATCTACCTTTCCCATGTCAAGGCGGAAACGATGCTTTGTTGTGGTTTCAGAGGGGCCGAGTAAATTAGCATAAGAACGTGCCTGCTTGATCTCCCGCGTAAAGATTTATCCATAGGGCAGGTGAAGTTTTTTCAGCGTGTTTATAGGGCACCTACAGGTGTAAAGACTAAGAATCTGCCTCTTCGATTATTCATTGCATCTCATTTATCACTTTCACGGGTTTATTACGAATCAACTTAACGGCCTGCTCTCAGTTGGCTTGTTAGCTCAATTGGTAGAGCGCTGCACTAGTATCGCATAGGTCAGTGGTTCGAGTCCCGTACAGGCCTGATTTTTTTCAGGTCTGATTTTCGCTACTGCATAAATAGCGCTATCATACTGCGAGGATCGCACATCATACGTATCTAATACCGCAGTTCAAAATATATGAACTTCATATATTCATTGCATCTCACTACATTTTCTGTCGCATGGTAGGGTAAATTTTATAATTAGTGTGAAATTGAAATGAAAAGAAGAACTTTCACTCCTGGCACTAACCATTTCTTTCGAAAACTTTAAAATAACTGCGTGCAATGTAGTCACTCAAGAATGGATCCGTGACCTCAGCTCTTAACGTTAAGAGCGTGACAGATGACTGAATCAACCCATTCTCGTGCAGATGTTCTCAAGCTCAGGTAAGACATGAAGTTCTCTTCATAAAAATATACTTTGAAATAGCGTTTCTAAATGTGTAAGTGACAGGAATTTGAGTATTTTAAAGCTTAAGATAGCGATCAAGACTAACTTAATGGCATTTTATCAACATGTTTCAGCCCGCATGAGACAGTTAAACGTAATGTCACACAGATGTTCATTTGTACCTTCGTAATTTCTAAATTTGGAACAAGTTTGGATGAATTTATGGACATCCTCACTCAAACAAAATGACCGTGCTAGTTTTGAAAGTAGGTGCTGCCTCAGATATTGAGCAAGAAGTGGAGTAACCACGAATATGCACAAGTGAAGTCATATGCATTTCGGCCGTTGAAAATTAGTAAAGTTCATCGAGCTCCTGGAGCTCGAAAAGACTAGTTGCTAAAAATGTCTTTGTTGTTTTCGGTACACCAGCCCCAGTACTAAACACGGATAGTGATGAGCACTACAGATACCGTTACACTTTGGAGAAAAGCGTCTTGGAACAACAGCACACTCACTCAAATTTGGAAAGTGTTGTTTGTGTGGTATTTTCAAAACAGCGTAGTTCTTAACTATTTGGTCAGAATTTACATATTTTGCTGTAAATCAACAGAAGAGATGTAAAATGGTACCGCATGTCCGATTTACGCTATTTGAGCGGATGCGTAAGTTTTTTAGAGCCACCAGCGAAACGCTGAAAATTAACTCTGAAATAAACAGATTTCTTTGTTTTTGACCACCCTCGCATCTCGTTGCCAAAAATTTGATAAAATAGCATTACAAACCAAATAAATACAATTCTTGCCGATGGAATAGATCAAGTATCTCACAGTAAAAATTTGAGGAAATTCTGTGGTCGGCCGAAATTCAAGTGATTGCCTCTTACTAGGACAGCCTCTTATGTGTCTTTTTATTTCGTTTTTTGATAACAAAAAAATAATTTTTTTGGACCGTAGAGGAGGTTCCATTGTGTTTTCAAAAACTGGTGGAGAACAAGCAACAAGTTAACATTGATGCAGTTTGTAATGGCATCGAAAAGTTCAGAGAAGAAAGCTTTAAAATGGTATTACACATAGTGCTCGAAAACTGCGTTTGCTTCAGTTGCTCGAGCTTTCCAAAGGAAACGCCCCATTTGAAATTTCGGCTTAGTTTTTCTTTTGTGTTTAAATTTTATGACTCTTACTCATGCACGACGTTTTAACTGATGAGCACATGTCATGGATGGCTTGGTGTTATGGCGTAAGAAGAGAAACATTTGCATCGCAAAATCAGCAGAGATACTGTGTATAATGATTTCAAACGCGTACAAAATATGCATACAGCGTCTGTAGTAGACCCACTCTAAAATATGTCGAACGTTTTCGGAACTGGTCGGTCTGCGAACCTTACGAGCTCTTTATGAGCAAACAATTATGAGGAGAGCGAACATTTATGGGTGAACCTTTCACCGAGAAACATGTTATATCAACTGAGCTATCTAAAGCTTATCAAGAGAAGCATAAACACAAATCTCATCGAATAAGTAGATATGATCGTGAACCGAGCAGATTACCAGTACGTTTGAAAAAAGCTCAACCAACAAAAGCAGAAAGGCTAGATAAATTGTCTATGTACGTATTCTCCCAAGTATACCCATGTTATCTACATTGTACTGTTAGGTAAATGCTAAAAAAACTATTAAATGAAAGGACGATTAAGTTTAACTGTCGTCAGGAAGAATTCTTCAAAGTATAAGGAAGATAAAATATCGTGGATCCACTCGATATTTAACATTGTGTTGTTGTAACAAACTGACGTGTTCTTGCAAGAGTGAGGCTCATGTGGCAAATTATTGCAACTATAAACTAAGTAAAAAAAATAAAACCTTGTCCTCCAACAATGTAGACAAAATGAGTTGTAATGAGTTTGTGCTTTTTGAAGTAACACACAGGGGGATCAGCTCGATCTGCAAATAATCTTGTACAAATAATGATTATTAGAAATCAGTTTTCTTCAAGTTTGTCTGGATTAGCCAGACAGGCGCTTTTAATGCAGTCAGAATTACCAACAGCATTAAATGTGTTTGGAACTGATTATCAAGTGGAATATGGTGTAAGCTATTCTGGCACTGTTCACCAAGAAACTGCTATGGAGGGATGTCAGTACTGTACCTCTTTACGAAGAGCCTTTGAGTCGCTCATATCTGAAAACTACACCAATTGCATACTAACAGTATGGAAACAGACAAATTGTGGGGTAATGGCACAAAATAGTATATTTCACAGGTTTATGATAACCACTCCAATAGCTCCATAAAATTAATAGTTTATCTGCTAATAAGTTTTGGTAGCGACTTTTTGTTTTCTTCTGGTGATAAGAAAAATAAGCAGTTGGTTTTCTTGCGCATGTTATGTGTCATCACCCGACACTTGGGGCTGTTTGTAATTAAAATCTCTCTCAGCCTGGAATCTTTTGTTAACCAAGAAAAAGAAAACATAAGAGGTCAGCCTATTTGGAAAATGACTCTCCATGCCCTATCCCTTTAAGCCTCATAATAATTGTTAATCAAGTCAAAACTCGAAACAAAATGGAAATAGTGTATAGTAATAAGTATTAAAATAGCCGATAATATAGGGCACTACCTCCCCGCACCCCACCCCAAAAAAGGGTGTTTTCATTCCTAAACAAATACTGCGTACAGCTCTCTGTATACATTTGTGAGAAACCTGCATCTTTGGCATACCAAGACAGAAAACAGTTACAGGATAAACCAATAATTTCGTAAAAAACTTAAGCAAATGCAGGCACTAAAAACAAAGTTTCTTGCCAACAGAAAGCCTGAGTGAACACAAATATGAATATGCGTCATTCGTTATTTGAGGAACTTGACCATTTCTTGATACGAGATAGCATGAGTCTAACGGTAAAAAGTTTGAAAGAGCTTTGGGCAAAGGAGTTTCTTCCCAACATACGAGAAGAGATCCGCAACGAAGTCGTTTCGCTCAAAGCTGGCCTTCAAGACCTCCGAAAAAGATTTGAAGAAATTGAAAAGTCCCAAGACTTCATTTCAAAGAAATACGATACAGTGATATCAACCATTAAGGACGTAAAAGAACACAATGACAGTCTAAAGGGTGATATAAGAGTGATAAAAGAAGACATTGGGAAGCTTGGAAACGATTATCTTAATGTTGAGATCCAGTTGGATGAGCTTGAGCAGTACGCACGAAGAGATTGCCTCGAAATAACTGGTATTCCGATCGTACCAAATGATAACCCACCCTTGCTCGTAAAAGAAATGTCTGAGATTATGGGAGTGAACCTCAGCCCAAACGATATATCGATCGCTCACCGTTTGCCGCCAACGAAGAAAGTGAAAGATCGACTAATCGTAAAATTCACTCGAAGAGAGAAAAGAGACGAAATCTACAACAACAGGAAAAGATTAAAATCTAAGCGGACTAAAGACCTTCCGTCGGTGGTCTGCACGCCGGAATATGTGGCTGTAAGTCATAAAGCACTAATTCAAGTCAATGAAAGCCTGACGCCGTACAGAAAGCGAATACTGGGCAGAATTTTACAATTCAAGCGCGACCGTAACTACAAGTTTATCTGGACGGCCAACGGTAAAATAATGCTGAAGAAAACGGAGAGCTCAATTACGAAATGTTTTGTGACACATGAGGAATTCGAAGAATTCCTCGATCAGCTTGATTAACTATAGCTCAATTTAATGACCTCTATAAATGTATACTATTATGGATCTAGACATGGCTAATCATCAAGAAAACGTAAGTAGTTCTTTACCCTTTTATGGGTTAACTGATAAAGAATTTTATGCTATATATGGTTGGTAGCTGGCCGGATGGGCGCCATGATTATCTTGACTTCTACGATCTCCTCCCTAATCCAAATAAATTCGACGAATGCGACCCAGATTTAATGTTAAATACCCCTTGCTCAGAATATTATTCAGTCCGCAGTTTTAATAAAATGCTAACTAAAACAGACGCCAAATATTTTTCAATTCTTCACTGCAATATCAGGAGTCTTTCTAAAAACCTAAATTTATTTGAACTATTATACTCCATTGATACCAAAGTGGATGTTCTTGGAAACCAAATTGGGTGAGAATTCTGTTAGTAATGTAAATATCAACGACTATAATTTATTTCACACAGACTTTCCAACAAAGGCGGGTGGAGCCGCTCTGTATATAACAATCTTAAAGCAGATATTAAATTTGATGATAACACTAGTTGAATCATGCTGGGCAGAAATTGATGCTGGCAAAGGTAAAAGATTATAATACTTGTGATCTAGAACAGTTTTGCAACCAACTAAATGATATAATCAAATCAATTAATTCCGATAGGCATGAAATTTACATCTTTGGAGATATGATTATAAATTTCCTGAAATTTAATGAACACGTCCAAACTGAAGAATTCTTAGATATGCTCTATGCCAGCATCTTACCAATCATTACTAAACCTACCAGGCTTACTGATCATATAGCAACACTCATTGACCATATATATGCAAATTGTTTTAAAAATCTTACAGCAGGAATCCTGACAGTTTATTTAACAGATCATCTCCCCATTTTCTTCATAGTTAAAACCGAGCCTACACGGAACAATGATAATAATATATATTTTCGAGACTATTCTAAATTTAAGAAAGACCCATACTTGGATGATATAAATCAGATTGCTTGGCATGAAATTCTTAATCTCCAAAATAATTTAAATGAGAAGCTAAGGGAGACAATTAATATCCTGAATGAAATTGTTGACAAACATGCACCTATCAGGCTGGCTAGCCAAAGCAAACAAAAGCAAATTAATAAGCCATGGCTCACTAAGGCTATTTTAAAATCAGTAAAAAGGAAACAGAAAATGTACCGTACACATTACTTAAGCAATGACTCCCAAAAAA